CAGATAAGTCCTTCATTTTAAATTATCTTTCCATGTTCCACAGAAAGCATAACAGGTTGTTGGGATCTCTCCAATAAACAAAATAAGATTTGCAATGCACTTCTACTACTATAAAAGAAAATTACCACCCACAGGTTGATGATGAAATACAGTAAATTAATGGCATCCACTGAACAATATGTTCAGAGTATTTACCTGGAGCAGAAGTATACCTACTTAATTTTTATAGAATCCATTCCCATGTAAACATGTTCAGGGTGCATCTTCCAATCATAAAACTATTCATTTAGATGTAAGTCTTGCTGCTTTCTGAGCAGCAAATTAATTTGTATCAATATCTTATCTAAGTTAATATCAAATGCACAAAGAAATCCATTGAATATTCAAACAGGATTCCAGTGAGGTTGCTTTAAGTTTCTATTTCACAATACCACATTTACTTCCTACTAATTGGTGATGGCAGATAAACAAATTGTAGATAAACAGATTTCAGCTATATTTGTTTAACTACCAGTTTGCTGACAATGGTCTTAATCTACCAAGCCTTCTGGGTAAATACTTCAGAAAAAGCTTGTTTAGAGCCCAGAAGACACATATTGAAAGGAATATCGGGTGTCCAGCAGGAGTGTTTTGTGGACGGTGAAGTGTGTATTTGTTAAAACATGAGAAGGAAAGTAGAATAGTGGAATCTTGCCTGAGAATCTGGGAGCCTAATTCCACTGCAAGGCTCTTAATTTTTTAAAAAATATAGCAAACCATATTAAAGGAACACTATTACAAACATAATAGACTGATCTAGAACAAAAAAACACATCCCACACCCAAACATTTATATAGCCAATCATGTTTATTTTTTTACCTGTCTATAATAAAAAAAATCAGATCTTGTATTGTTACACTTGTAATATATGTTTCTGCTTAAGTAAACCACATATTTGAAACCCAAGTTTTTAAATCCATGCTTCTCCAATTTCAGATCACTCCTCATTCTGGGTATGTCTGCAGTCTCAATAAAATGGGAAATGGAGAACAAATGCAGCAAACGGTAAATTGTAATGCAGGGTCGCTGCTATATTTGATTTCCATAACAAATGTGCTACAATGCACTGAGATTCCACTTTAACACCTTTACAACAACGAAGCAAGCACAGATATTTATTATTTAACCTGTCCCTCACTGAATAATCCAAATGCACATTGTCCAAAAAGCAAAGATCATTTTCTCTGTAAGATGACGATCTCTTATCCACAGCTCGACCATAAACCAGAAATTACATAAGAAAAAAAACAACTGACAAGCAAAAGCAACCATTGCTATACAGCCACGGAAATGGAAGTCTATAGTTAATTGTGAGTCCATTTTAGTTTAGCTTAAAACAAACTGTGCCCTGGATTGTACAAAGCAGAGAAAGGCTTCAATAAATGAAGGAACCATTCACGCCTTCCACACATGAAAGCCAGTTTTATAACGCCACGCCTTCCCAACAAATACTGCTGCAGACATTTTTTTTCAGGCCGCTACTCTTAGTCACAATATATCCTTCCGACTTCAGTTATGTACCACACATACCATGCAAACCACTGCCTTGTCGAAACAGAATTAGTCACAGCAAAATTATATTTCCTTAAGGACAACAAAGGCAAAATGAAGAAGCGCCCTGAAAGAGAATAGCCCCACTGCAGAAAACAGCCTCTATTTTCACAGCATAATAAATATCCTTATTACAGACATGCCAGGTTAAGTGTTTGCCTTTAACTAGAGATAATATTTCTTATCATGTGGAAAACTGAAAAAGGCAGTCATTCTTAGGCATATTTAGGCATGGATCGACATGGATCCAAGTGCTCCCCTGACTATTTTAAATGGAACCTTTGGAGGCTAAAAAGAAGGAAGGGATTGGGGAGAAAGAAAGGAAGAATGCAGCATCTTTTAAGAACTGGTTTTTTTATTTTAGCATGAGCTTTTGTGGACACAAGCCTACTTCTTGGTGGGATTTTAATGTCTTGGATATAAAACATACAATTGTGAGAATGGAAAAGAACAGGCTGGATGCAAATAATGTCCTTTACCCCATTTTTTCTCCAAAAGACTGTATAGGGATACAGATTTTTCAGATCTTTACAGTGGTCAGTCAGTGTTGATGTGTGAAAGCAATAAATCTGCTTCCTTGGCTTCCAGTGTCTTATCCAATGCCTGAGCACATTCCTTTTGTCAAATGTGCAGCAGCAATGGCTCTTGCATTAATATTTGTAGCCTGCCATGAATCCATGTCGTTAGTCACACGTTTGTAAATGGGTTGGAAATGTGTAATTACAGTTCAAGCCAGCTCTCTCCCTTTGTTATTTCCTTGTTCAAGGACTGCCACCTGTAAATACCTTCTTCTCCAGTGAGATTGAAATGATCTGCAACTGTTTGGGGGTGTTGCCATGTGTTGGGGGAAACTATAAAGGAGAAGGAGGCAGCCTCTTTGAGGTATGAGCCCACCCCCAAGAACAAGGCACACCTTCACTCCTGTCACCATCCATCCCTGGGGGCAACTTCACCTCCACCTCCTCTCTTCAATTTAGGCCAACCTTGGGAAACAGGAGCCCCCAGCGGTGAACTAGGTTAAACCCTTGTGCCAGCAGGACTGCTGACCGACAGATCAGAGGCTCGAATCTGTGGAGAGTGGGTTGAGCTCCCTCTGTCAGTTCCAGCTTCCCATGTGGAGACACAAGAAAAGCCTCCCACAAGGATGGTAAAACATCAAACATCTGGGCATCCCCTGAGCAACATCGCTGCAGACAGCCAGTTTTCTCATACCAGAAGCAACTTGCAGTTTCTCAAGTTGCTCCTGACACAAAATAACAAAAAAAAAAAAACCTTGAGAAATGTGTGTCTGTAATGGAGGGGAGAAGAGGGGTGCACATTTCCCTCCTTCTCCACCATACACTAGTGTCTGAATGGCTCTCTAATTCTTCTCCCTCACTTACCAGCTCACTCTCTCTTTCACCCACCCGCTTCCTTTTCTCTCCATTTTTGGCAACTAGCCACTCTGTGTGTGTCTCTCTCTTACACACACACACACACACACACACATCGAGAGCCACCCACTACACTCTGAAGGAGCCATTCGCCTCTACCTACATCTGTTTTGCTTTCAAACAGAAAAAGAGAGGCAACAAACCCAAGGTGAAGGGGGGGAAAGGGAGTCAAGCACTCATTGGGAACGAGAGGGTGGGAGTTGCAAAGGGAAAGAAAGATGAAGGAGGGGGGGAAGGTGGGAGGGGAGAGGGAGGAAAAGGAAGGAAAGAAGGGGGTGGGAGGTGAGAAGGAAAGGAGGAGGAAGGGAAAGGAGGAAGGAAACAAGGGGGGAGAGATGGAAAGAAAAGGAGGAGAGAGGCAGGAAGGAAAGGGGGAGGAAGGGAAGGAAGGAAAGAAGGGGGAGGTGGGAAGGAAAGATGGAGGAAAAGGGGAGAGGCGGGAAGGAAAGGGGGAGAACAGAAGGAAGGAAAGAAGGGGGAGGTGGGAAGGAAAGAAGGAAGCAGGTAAAGGGGAGAGAGGTGGGAAGGAAAGGGGGGAAGGGAAGGAAGGAAAGAAGGGGGGAGGTAGGAAGGAGGGAAAGGGGAGAGAGATGGGAAGGGAAGGAAGGAAAGAAGGGGAGGGAGGTGGGAAGGAAGGAAGAAGAAAGGGGGAGGGAGATGGGAAGGATAGGGGGAGGAATAGAAGGAAAGAAGAGGGGGAGCAAGGTGGCAAGGAAAGGGGAAGGAAGGAGGAAGAAGGGGAGGGAGGGATAGAATGGAGGGAGGAAGGAGGAAAGGAAGAAGGAGAAAGGGGGAGGGAGGGGAAGGAAAAGAGGAGGAAGGGAAGGAAAGGAAGAAGAAGGAAAGGGGAGGGATGTAGGAAGGAAGGAGAGGGGGAGTGAGGTAGGAAGGAAGGAAAGGGGGGAGATGGGAAGGATAGGGGGAGGAATAGAAGAAGAGGGAGCAAGGTGGCAAGGAAAGGGGAATGAAGGGAAGGAAAGAAAGGGGAGGGAGTGGGAAGGAAAGGAGGAAGGAAGGGAAAGGAAAGGAAGAAGGAGGGAAGGGGGGGAGGGGAAGGAAGAGGAGGAAGGAAGAAAGGAAGGAAGAAGCAAGGAAAGGGGAGGGAGTAGGAGACTTTGGGTGCATCTACACTGTAGATTTAATAAAGGAGGATGAAGCTGGGGAGGGGAAGAGAAAAAGGAAGGAAAGAAAGGGAGGAAGGGAAGGGAAGGGAGGGAAGGAAAGGGAGGGAAGGAAAGAAAGGGAGGAGTGAGGGAGAAAAGGAAAGGAAGAGAGGAAGGAAGGGAGGGAGAGAAAGAAGTAAAGGAAAGGGGGGAAAGAGGGGGGGGGTTGGACGACGGGGGGAGGGGGGGCAGGGGGGAGGGAGGAGAGAAGAAAGGGGGGAAGAAGGGAAGGAAGAAGGAGGGAGATGAAAGGAAAGGAGGAGGAAGGGATGGAAGAAAAGAAGGAAGGAGGGAAGGAAAGGGGAGGGAGGTGGGAGGGAAAGGGGAGGGAGGTGGGAAGGAAAGGGGTGGAAGGTGGGAAGGAGGAGGAAGGGAAGGGGGGAGGTGAGAAGGAAAGGAAAGGGGGGATGGAAGGGAGGATGGAGGGAAAGGGGAGGGTGCGCGACTCGGCGTGGCTTCTCCTTTCTCCCCCCCCCCTCCTTCGCACACACCTTCCCCCCCCCCCCCAAGCTGCGGCTGCTGGGCTGTGAATCATCATCGCCACAAGGTTCGCCACTGCGCCGAACCAGGAGCCCAAGCCCACAAGGCTCATGCCCTCAAAGACACATACAAACGCACACACACCACCACCAGGCGACGGTCTTTGCCCCAAGAGCAATCAAAAAGGGAAGCGGCGCCCGTTTCCTGGCTGAGGGGCGGGGAGGCAATCTGGGGCAAAAGGGGGGCGAGGGAAGGGGATACAGAGGAAGGAGGGGGGATGGGGATGATGCGTGGGGTGTGCTGGAAAGGAGCCTGTCTGGAGGCGCGACTCACCCAGGAGCAGCAGCTTGAGCTCCCTCCGGGCGTCCCTCTTGTCGCGGCGCAGCTGCCTCTCGATCTCGTCGTTGATCCGCCGCGCTTCCTTGGCTTCCTCGCTCAGGCAGCACGCCATGATGGACTCCAGGGTCATACTTCCCCAGTGGCTCAGGCGCGGGGGCCCCGTCCCCCAAAGGAACACAACCAGGGGAGCCAAACAAGAGAAGGAGGGTCCCTCCTCTGGAGAAGAGAAGGAGGAGGAGAGAGCAAACGCCCTTTGGCTTCCGAGCTCGGCGAGGCAGCGACCCCCTCTGCCGACGCCCTCCTCCCTTTTCCTCTTCCTCCCAATGCCCGGAGACAGCGAGCCCCGAGGGAGGGGAAGGGGAGAGGAGAGGAGGAAGGGAAGGGAAGGGGGAAAGAGCGAGCCCTGGCGCACCCGCGGAGGGAGACGCGCACGGCGCACCCACCACGCGGGCAAGTCCTGCCTGCCTGCCTGCCTTCCCTTTCCGCGAAGCCCCCTCGCCCACCTTGGCCCGGCCCTGTGCCTCCGGGCGAGCCTCCGCCTCCTTCCCAGCCTCAGCCCTGCGCCAAACAACAGGGAGGCATCCACTGGGAGGAGGAGGAGGAGGAGGAGCCCAGGCAGGCGCCCCTCGGACCCGCCCTCTTTCGCCCCGGCCTCCGAGAAACCCCTTCGCAGGGCCAGCGGACGCCCAGGCTGCCCCTCCTGCCTTCCTTTCCTTCCTCCTTGCTGCCTTCCTTCCTTTCCCCGCCTCAGGAGGCGGACTGTTCGCGCCCTGCCTCCACGCAATCTCTATCCTATCTGTAGGAAATTACAAGCTTCCTAGAAAAGAAGGACGCCTTCCCCGCCTTGGATACAATCACAAGCTTCAGTGGGGTTTGGGGGGCTTTGCCTTCCGAGGCAGGGAAGCGCTTGCTTTCCTCTCTCTTTCGCCCTCTCTCTGCCTCCCCTGCGGAGGGGGGCAAGCCAAGGAGGGCCAGGCTGTGGGTCTTCTGGCGAGAGCGGAGGCCGGAGCCTATCTGTAGCCTTGCCTCGCTCGGCTTCCCGGGCGTGGTGGAGGCAGAAATATGGCGGAGCTTTTCCTGGCTGGCTGGCCTCCCGCTTTCCGCGCCCCCTCCTCCTCCTCCGCTTCCTTCCCCCGAAGTCAAACCCTCCCGACCCTTGCCTCCCTCCCTCCCTCCCCACCTTCCTTCTTGCACTCGCAGACCCCCCCCCTCCCCAGACAGGAAAGCAGCCACGATTTGTTTCCCTCCCTTTTGGAAACAAAATAATCCTTCAGGGCAGGGTTTTTTTCCTCCTCTTTTTTTTTTTTTTTTGCGCGCGTGGTTGTTTCATTGCCGCCTCTCTCCCTCCCACCCGTTTCTCTCAGAATTAAGCAAATCACACCTTATGGAAGGTCTTTCTTATTTTTAGAAGGCGGGGGGGAGAGTCAACACAATGTTCAAGGGGCACGGAAATAAAACGGAAAAACAGAGCCGAGGTCTAATGGTACATTCTTGGTCTAGTTTCTGTATGTTAGTAAGAGGTTTCCTGGATTTTAGGCCACTGCGTTGGAGAATTGGATGAGGAGATGTTACATCTAGATTGGGTTGAATCACATAAAAAGAGGTCTTCCAAATAAAAGCAATCCCTGAGTTACAAACATCCGACTTACAAAAGGAAGGGCCCTTTTTTGTGTCAGGAGCAACTTGAGAAACTGCTTCTCGTGTGAGAGAATTGGCTGTCTGCAAGGACGTTAACCAGGGGATGCCCAAATATTTCACCATCCTTGTGGGAGGCTTCTCATGTCCCTGCATGAGAAGCTGGAGCTGATAGACAGGAGCTCACCCCACTCCCTGGATTCTAACTGCAGACCTGTCGGTCAGCAGTCCTGCCAGCACAAGGGTTTAACCCATTGTGCCACCCGGGGACTGGGGGGAGGGTTGTGTCAGGAGCGACTTGAGAAACTGCAAGTTGCTTTTGTTGTGAGAGAATTGGCCATCTACAAGGACATTTTCCAGGGGACACCCAGATGCTTTACCATCCTGTGAGAGGCTTCTCTCATGTCCCTGCATGAGAAGCTGGAGCTGACAGACAGGAGCTCACCCTGCTCCCCGGATTCGAACCGCAGACCTTTGGGAAATGACTGCAACTAACTCACGTGCATTGATTTTTTTTTTCATATCAGGAGCGACTTGAGAAACTGCAAATCACTTTTGGTGTGAGAGAATTGGCCATCTGCAAGGACATTGCCAAGGGGACGCCAGATGTTTTGATGTTTTACCATCCGTGTGGGAGGCTTCTCTCATGGGGAGCTGGAGCTGACAGAGGGAGCTCATCTGCACTCCTGGATTTGAACCTACAACCTGTCGGTCTTCAGTCCTGCCGGCACAAGGGTTTAACCCATTGCACCACTGAGGGCTCAGGGGTGGGTGGGTGAGACAACAGGAAGTGAGAGAATGCTATCCTCCCAAAGGGAAATTCTCTCCTGGAAGAGTTATCATGGGGGAAAGTTGTCTCAACTGAAACTTTCTCACCAATCCTTGCTTCCACAACATGCCATGTTATCCAAAATCCAATTATCACAGGGACAGAAAGTAAGGTGAAATCTTCTGAACAGAGGTGCAGAAAGCAAAACAAACCCCACAGTGGTGCTAACCCTTCCCTATGCTATCCAAAGCTTCAAACGGGTTCCAGGATTTCCTATGTAAGCATCTTTATTAATGATTTAGATGAAGGGTTAGAAGACATGATAATCAAGTTTTCAGATGACACCAAATTGGGAGGGATAGCAAATACCGCAGTAGACAGGAGCAGAATTCAAAACGATCTTAACAGATTACAGAGATGATTGGCCAAAACTAACAAAATGAAGTTCAACAGGGACATATCCAATCCACTCAAATCTATATAAATAACAATGTAATGTTTGTTTGTGGGATTAACATAAATCAAAAACCACTGGATGAATTGACACAAAATTTTGGACACAATACACCTAAAAGACCAACAAGTGACCATCACTTATAAAAATATTGAAAAACATAGCGTAAGAGACTTAAAAAGCCAAAAACAAAAATACATTACAATGCATGTGCATAAATACACATATACACAAATACACACACACACATATACACATATATGCAAACACATATACACAGACTGGGCCACAGCAATGCGTGGCAGGGGATGGCTAGTTAGGCATAAAAATGAAGTGCAAAGATACACAATGGGGGTGGGGGTGGGGTGTGCCTGGCTTGACAGCAGTACATGTGAAAAGATCTCGGAGTCCTTGTGGACAGGAAGATTAACATGAGCCAGGAATGTCATGCGGGAGCTGAAAAAAACCAGTGGAATTTTGGCTGGCATCAATAGGAGTATCATGTCGAGATCCAGGGAAGTCATGTTACCCCTCTATTCTGCCTTGGTCAGACTACACCTGTAATCACACTGTGTTCAATTCTCGGCACCGCAATTGAAGGGAGATGTTGACAGCTGGAATGTGTCCAGAGGAGGGAGATTAAAATCAGCAAAGGTCTGGAGAACAAGCCCTATGAGGAGCAGCTTAAAGAGCTGGGCATATTTAGCCTGAAGAAGAGAAGGCTGAGAGGAGACATGATAGCCATGTATAAATATGTGAGAGGAAGTCACAGGGAGGAGGGAGCGAACTTGTTTTCTGCTGCCCTGGAGGCTAGGATGCGGAACAATGGCTTAAAACTAAAAGAAAGGAGATTCCGTCTGAACATTAGGAAAAACTTCCTAACTGTGAGAGCTGTTCAGCAGTGGAACTCTCTGCCCTGGACTGGTGGAGGCTCCTTCTTTGGAGGCTTTTAAACAGAGGCTGGATGGCCATCTGTGAGGGGTGCTTTGAATGTGATTTTCCTGCTTCTTGGCAGGGGGTGGACTGGATGGCCCATGAGGTCTCTTCCAACTCTATGATTCTGTGAACTGCACACTGAAAACCCATTTTCTTCAATATTTCAGAACTGGAAACCTTCAAGCTGGGCAAAGGCTAGAGAAGGATGTATAAAGATTGTTTAGGCAGAATGTAAGAAGAGGGTTGCTGCCAACCTGCCCTTTTACCTTTAACAGCAGCAGGACCTGCAAAAAGTCAGAAGTTTTCACAACATAGAAAATAAACATCACCTGCCTATGTCAATGTATCATGTGCTGTGAAAAACACCAGGGAGAGGTCAAGGAATAGCCAGGTCGTTCCATACTCGGAGACATCCTGCTTCTCACACTGTCTTGCTTGACAAATAGTTCTGGAGACCTTGAAAGCTTGCACAGACTTTGTGCCCATTGCTTTGGTCAAAGCAGTACTGGTTTGTAATACAGATTTGGGACCTACATAACTGTCAATACTTTTTCTATGTTGTATATAGGTTCTTGCTGTGACAGATCTAACACAAACCTATCTTCTTTAAGGGATCCTATGTATTGTGTAAATCCTGTTGTTTTCAGTGGCATGTAGTGTGGAATCTACATTCCCCTAGAATAACTGGACTACAGCTCCCATCATTCTTCTCAATTGGCCTTGTTTCTGGGTCTAATGGAAATGAGTTGCCATGGAGTGACCCAAATGGGGTTCCAGTGCAAAAATAAAAATAGAATCATTCCTGGTGTTACAAAAAAGGCATCACAAACCAAACATGGAAATGTTGTCTTCCAATTTTCTTTTCTTCCTTTAAGGCAGTCGTTCCCAACCTGTTTTTAACCAGGGACCACTCTCCAACATTAGTACCAAAAGGGTTACAAATCAGTTTTTGGTCAACTTTAGATTGGTTTGGTTATTTGGGGTGCTGAGTCAGAAAAGTGCATTGGATAGACCACATCAGCTGTAGTTTTTTTTAATACACAACATATGCCATCCAATAGTCGCTATCTGCTCGCCCACAAAAAAAGCAACAACCATATTTAATAAGCCTCAGCACTATAAGAGGGTCTTGTGAGACAGGTCACTCTCGTTGCAACAGTGTAGTAATGGTGAGGCCACAGACCACATTTTAGTTGTTGTGGACCACTGGTTGGGAACCACTACTTTAAGCCATCCATAATATTGCACTTGTTAAATCCATATGGAATTTACTTTTGGTAAGCTTTCCTCTAAATATAAAAAGAATTACTGTTAGGGATTCTTCAGTTTCAAGGAGCAAGCCAACATTTTAATCGATATTTGTGCTTTGTTAGTAGTTTTTTTTGCAGACGTTAATGAGGGCTGAAGTTCATTTCGTCCTGCAAAATGTTCATTTACTACTTTCAGTTGCAAGCTGTGGTTAAGATACAAAGAGACAATCCCTATCTTTGTCTAGTTCATTAGAAATCACAAGCATGTTTGGTTTAGTTTTTAAAAATAAAATTGTATCTACAAATTACCCTTCTAGGATGATACCAAGAAAGTAATTTTCCTATGCATTGAATGGCTTTCCTGAACTTTTATATGATGCTTCCTCTCTTCTTCTCAAAGTTCAGTTTTTGAAATGTTGACATGATTTTACATCCTTGGTTTTGGAACTGCATCACCCACATTCCTCCCTTCCCTTCCTACCCCCACTTTTCTAGCCTTCCTTTATGTCATTTGATTCATTGTCTATTTCAGATTAAAGCATCTTGTGCTTTTTTGCCTGTATAATTGTTAGGTGCTATGTATACTGCTGGTACTGATAGAATATGAACAATATTATGAAGATAGGCAATAAAGCATTATGCTTTTTCAGTGGATTCACATGATTGTGTTTTCACACAAAGATGACAACTATGGCAATAGCTTGTTGTTAAGAAACAGCCTCACCATTTATGTCAAGACTGACTCTTTAGGGTCAGCTTGGGACTTCATGGCCTCCATGACAACCATGGAGATATCTCCAATAATAACTAGCCAGATACGTGAGACAAGGCACACTCTGAGGTTGTTTTTTCCACTTCCCTGAAGTGCTATAAGACATTCCCTTTGGGTTAGCATTCACTGCTTTACCTGTAAGAGTGTGGAATGAATAGGACACTTCTAATGAAGAATATTCATATTGCAGAATAATTGTATCTTACATTTCACATTTATGACCTGGTTTAAAGAATTGCATCTATAACAGTTCCCTGAACATAACTGTGTTCTCCATGT